GCCCCCCTTCTCCCCTCGCCCCCTTTTGCCGTGTACGTGAGAACTTCTTGAAACCGAGGAGGAGAACTAGGGCTTCTGTTGAAGCGTCTAAAGAGGTGTTCAGTTTCAGCGCCGGCAGAACACACGCCAACTATAAACCCCTAATACTTAAACCCTAAACCCTAAACCCTAAACCCTAAACCACCAACCCTGGACGGCAACTAGCAGGGAGAGAGTTCACGGTTATCCAGGAAAGTTATCCAAAGGGAGAGATGCTACGAAGTGTTAGCTGCAGGCAGTGACGGCTAAGAAAACCCTAAACCCTAAACCCTAAACCCTAAACCCTAAACCCTAAACCCTAAACACTAAACACTAAACCCTAAATTTAAATCCCGAAACATAAGCCCAAGGGTTCAGAGTTCGTTGTGTAACTCTTCGACGCTATTTTCTTTTAACTATTGTTCGTTGTATGCCGCCTGTTGAGGGTTTAGGGTTTAGGGTTTTAGGGTTTAAGGGTTTAGGGTTTATAGTAGGGGCATTGCATGCGCAGCTAGCTGCTGCCCGATCTGAAACACCAAAACAAAATATAATATAATTATTAAACAAACAAAAAAAAATATAAACAGGCTGCTGCTGCGTGGGGTGTATAGGCAGGTACTCTCAGTTGGTGACCATCAACCCTAAACCCTAAACCCTAAACCCTAAACCCTAAACGCTAAACCCTAAACCCTAGATGCCACTTTTTAATATATTTTATTTATATAAACGAGAATATAAATTATTATTTTAATTATAACAGCCAATATAAACTCCGAAGGGCACACAAACGCATGCATACCCTGGGGGCCCCCCAACAGGCAGCGAGACAGGGGCCCCCCTGTTTTCCGTGTGGTTTTGTTTTCTCTTTAGCATTGAAAAAATATATACAAAATAAATATTATTTACTCTAAACCCTAAACCCTAAACCCTAAACCCTAAACCCCAAACCCCAGGCTGTGTTTCTAAGCCCATCATGGCCTCATTCCTCTTCTTGCCAGCAGCAGCAACAGCAGCAGCAGCAGCAGCAACAACAACAGCAGCAACAGCAGCAGCAGCAGCAACACAGCAATGAGCGCATACACACACACCGACAGCCCCGCACGCATGCAACCACAGGGGCCCCCCCCCGAGGGGCCCCCCCAGGGGGCCCCCCAGGGGCCCCCCAAGGGGCCCCCGGGCCCCCCCCCTCCCCCGGGGCCCCCAGGGTACGGGGGGGCCCCCAGCGACCCCTACGCCTTCATCGATGCGCATGTGGGGGCCCCCCTGGGGGCCCCCGAGGACGGGATAGAGACACTGGAGAGACAGCTGGAGGAGCTGCACATTTCTCTTAGAAAAAGGATTGATGTGAGGAGACAAATTCCTGCTGCTGCTGCTGCTGCTGCTGCTGTTATTGCTGCTGCTGCTGCTGCTGCTGCTGCTGATCAGGGAGAGGCCTCTCAGCATCTACGTGCTGTCGTTGCAGCAGCAGCAGCAGAAGCAGCAGTTTTCCTTGTCTGTATGATGGTTTGCTGCTGCAGTCTCAGCTGCTGCTACTACTGCTGCTACAGCTGCTGCTGCTGCTGCTGCTGCTGCTGCTGCTGCTGCTGCATGTGTGGGGTGTCTGCGCAGCGGTGTCTGGATAGTTCTGAGCGGCACGCGTTGTCTTTGTCTCGGTCTCTTCCTGCTGCTGTTGTTGCTGCTGATGCTCTCAACAAAGAAACAAACGCATGCAAAGCGAAGCTGCAGCAGCTGCTAGATACACTAAAAGCCAGAGGCGCGCTGCAGCAGGTAACACAAACTCCTGCTGCTGCTGCTGCTGCTGCTGCTGCTGCTGTTGCTGCAAGTGCTGCTGCTGCTGCTGCAGATACTGCTGCTGCAGATGCTACTGCTACAGACACTGCTACTGCAAATGCTTCTGCTACAACTTATGCTGCTGCTGCTGCTGTTGCTGCTGCTGCTGCTGCTGCTGCTGCTGCTGCAGGAAGGGTTAGCAACGGTGTATGTGCTGCATGGGGTGAAGAGACACCTGGAGGACTGCAGCGCGGTGGCAGCTGAGCTCCACCGCTGGCACTTCCGGTGGGTTTCTCCTCTTGGGGCTTGCTGTA